TACTGTTCTGTCTCATACATGGTCACTTTCAACATGACCTGAATTAAGGACACCTCCAAGAATGAATCAGCCCATCACCCTATCACCCTCAAAGAGCTAATACCAAAGTTGACCATGTTTGGGACAGGCCAGTAGCTATCGATGTGAAAGTAGACAGTGTGAAAGCCAACTTGGTCATGATGTCAAAAACTGGTGATGTGGCAATAGCAATATGTAAAGTCATGGCAATCCTTGAGCCATATCCTCACATGAACTTAGAATTATGTTTTGAGATAGGACAGTAGGTATCAATATGAAGGCTTAGAATAGCCTTTCCTAATGTGAAAGACAACTTGTGCATGATGTCAAAAACTAATGCTGCAGCACTGGCAATAGGATGGCAATCCTTCAACCTCATCCCCATAACATAGATAGGGCCAAGGACACCATAAACTACATGTTAACTACAAACTTTTTTAAATGAAAAAGCAGACACTACAAACTCTTCTAATAAAAAAGCACACACTACAAACTTTTGTAGTCTCAAAAAGTGGATACTACAAACTTTTCTAATCAAAAAGTGCACACTACAAACATTTGTAGTCTAACAAAGCAGACACTACAAACTTTTCTAATCAAAAAGCGCACACTACAAACATTTGTAGTCTAACAAAGCAGACACTAAAAACTTTTCTAATCAAAAAGTGCACACTACAAACATTTGTAGTCTCAAAAAGCGGACACTATAAACTTTTGTAATGACAAAAAGCAGACATTACAAACTTTGTAGTCAAGATAACCTTTTGACCCTAACCCTGACCTTGTAGTCTAAGTCCAAGCTTTTGTAGTCTAAGTCCAACTTTTGTAGTCTTTTATAGTTTATCAGTAAACTTTGTAGTCTTAGTCTGACTTTTTTGTAGTCTATCAGTAAACTTGGTAGTCTATAGACTTTTGTAGTCTAAGCAAACTTTGTACTCTAAGTTTGACTTTTGTAGTCTTTTATAGTGTATCAGTAAACTGTGTAGTCTAAGTCCAACTATTTTGTAGTCTATCAGTAAACTTGGTAGTCTATATCTGACTCTTATAGTAGGGCATGCACCTTCCTTTTTTGGTCATTTTTCCCACGATAAAATAATTGTAGCCCTTTCTTTTAGCTTTCTAAATATACTGAAATCATGTTATTTGGTTTTGTTTTCATGGAGAAAAATATAAAAAACAAAAAAAAAACGCGACACTTTTGAAAGTCCTTTACCTCATATCTCCACAACGGGAGCACTTCAGAATATAATTCAAACAGATTCGGGAAGCTACAGTGTAGGGCTACAACTTTCGTTTTTGACCATTTTTGGTAATTGGTCATGTGACCATCATCCCAACATCCCATTACATGGACCCTGATAGGTAAAATCATTCTCCTCTTGGTTTTCTTTGCTTTTTGGTAAAACCAGGTGATATTTCCCTTTTGGGATGGACCCTGAAGGCAGTGCCTGATGTTCTGTACACCATTTATATATATTTTCAATTTTTCCGCCATTTTCTGGCTATTTTTGGATATATTACCATATTTGGAACTGGACCCTGGACCCTGACAACATTACCCAATATGATCATCAACAATGAGCACCATCCCCCATTTTTTTCTGATTTTTTGGATATTTTCTGGCTATTTTCAGCTGTATTACCATATTTGGAAATGCACCCTGGACCCTGAAAACCACCCCCAATGTCGTCACCAACAGTGAGCAACACCCCAAGCTCACTAATGAAATTGCCAATGATATTGCCCAAGTAACTAATGAAAATCGCAATGATGTTACCCAAGTAGCTAATGAAATTTCCAAATGATATTGCCCAAGTAACTAATGAAAATCGCAATGATGTTACCCAAGTAGCTAATGAAATTTCCAAATGATATTGCCCAAGTAACTAATGAAAATCGCAATGATGTCGCCCAAGTAGCTAATGAAATTTCCAATGATATTGCCCAAGCTCACTAATGAAATTGCCAATGATATTGCCCAAGTAACTAATGAAAATCGCAATGATGTTACCCAAGTAGCTAATGAAATTTCCAAATGATATTGCCCAAGTAACTAATGAAAATCGCAATGATGTCACCCAAGTAGCTAATGAAATTTCCAATGATATTGCCCAAGTAACTAATGAAAATCGCAATGATGTTGCCCAAGTAGCTAATGAAATTTCCAATGATATTGCCCAAGTAGCTAATGATATTGCCAATGATATTGCCCAAGTAACTAATGATATTGCCCAAGTAACTAATGAAAATCGCAATGATGTCACCCAAGTAGCTAATGAAATTTCCAATGATATTGCCAAAGTAACCATTGAAAATTGCAATGATACTCACCAGATAATTAATGAAATTTCCAATGATACTGGCCAGATAAGTAATGAAAATCACAATGATATGCCTTTGTAAAGATATGAAATTGGTAATAAGGCCTTGCCTCCATTTAATGAAAAAAGCGCAGGCTTTATGATAATGAAAAGACATGGTAACAGGAATGATTCCCTATCATAAAGAGTGTGGATGGATACACAGGGAGCCATAGGCAGTTACCTTGTTTTTATGATAAAAGTGCTAGCCACTAGTGGAGAATCTACAAGAAAAGGCTTGGGATATGTTGAAGAAGCGGCAAAAAGCCTTTGGCTTCGACGGAAGATTGGGTCATCATCCGAGTAAGGTACACATTCGCACAGCAGAAGGTCAAGTACCCATAGCGGTGCCAATGTACGGATCATCCCCTGCAAAACGCGCTGTCATCAACGAACAATTGGATAAGTGGTTTGAACAAGATGTGATAGAACCCTCCAAGAGCCCTTGGAGCGCCCCAGTAGTAATAGCCTACCGTAATGGAAAGCCACGGTTCTGCGTCGATTACCGTAAGTTGAATGCGGCCACTACTCCAGACGAATTCCCCATCCCTAGACAGTCGGAGATTCTCTCCTCCCTATCTGGAGCTCAGGTCCTTTCCTCGCTAGATGCGCTCTCAGGGTTCACACAACTAGAGATGAGCGAGGAAGATGTCGAAAAGACAGCCTTTAGAACACATTGAGGCCTGTTCCAATTCAAACGGATGCCGTTCGGATTGCGGAATGGCCCCTCCATCTTCCAAAGAGTAATGCAGGGCATTCTGGCCCCTTACTTATGGATTTTCTGTCTAGTCTACATCGACGACATCATTATCTACTCCAAGTCGTATGAGGAACACATTGATCATCTTGACAAAGTCCTAGAGGCTATTGAAAAGGCTGGAATTACACTATCGCCCGTCAAATGCCACTTATTCTACTCCTCCGTGCTTCTGTTAGGGCACAAGGTTTCCCGCTTAGGATTGTCAACTCACCTTGAAAAAGTGCGAGTGATTTTGGAGCTCGAATGTCCGTCCAAGCTCTCTCAGCTACAGAGTTTCCTAGGGATGGCTGTATATTTTTCAGCATTCATCCCATACTACTCAGACCGTTGTTACCCACTATTCCAGTTATTGAGAAAAGGGGCGAAATGGAAATGGTCTGCCGAATGCGAAACGGCTTTTCTATCCCTGAAGGAAGCTCTGCAAGAGGCTCCAGTGCTAGGTCACCCAATAGAAGGTTTACCTTATCACCTGTACACGGACGCTTCGGACGAAGCCTTAGGGTGTGCCTTACAACAAGTACAGCCTATGAAGGTAGAGGATCTGAGAGGAACGAGAGTTTATGATCAGCTCAGAAAAGCGTACAAGTTAGGCAAACCTCCGCCGAAATTAATAGTGCACTTATCTTCGGAACTAAAAGATGATCGAGTTGCCCAACAATGGGGAGAGAAATTTGAAGAGACTGTGGTATACGTGGAGAGAGTCATCGCATACTGGTCGAGAACATTCAAATCAGCTGAAGTGCGATATTCGACGACCGAAAGAGAAGCCCTAGCAGCTAAAGAAGGTTTAATTAAGTTTCAACCCTTCATTGAAGGAGAGAAACTGACGCTTATCACTGACCACACTGCCCTTCAATGGGCTAAAACGTACGAAAATTCCAACAGGAGATTAGCAGCTTGGGGCACGGTGTTCTCGGCCTACGCTCCATACATGTCCATAATCCATCGACCTGGAAGGAAGCACTCAAACATTGATCCGCTATCAAGACTCTATCGGGCTCCGCCACCCCATTCATCGCCTGCTAGAAATGACACAGATAAGCCACTAGAAATGAGCCTTGACTTCACTGACTCATCAATCAACCAACCTGCGGAGAAAATGGCATTCGTCGCCTACAGTCTTAATGAGTGCCTGGAGGAAACACCGGAGATCTTCATAAGGACTAAGTCATTGAAGAGATCAAAAGGATTATCGGAAGGCGTACAATCCAGTGCTTCAGCAGACCCACCCAATGTCGAAGAACAAGACCCCACTAATGAATATTGGGGCGTGACGAACCCTGCCCCCAACCTCCATTTACACATGGATAACAATACTCTCTTAACTTGGGTCGACGGCTACAGGAAGGATCCGTACCTGTCCAAGACTTGGGACGACCCGAAATCATTGACGGAAAACTGGGTACCTGGCCATAGGTTTTTCAAAGACGACCAAGGACTATTATTCTTCCGCGACGCGGACTATCAACCCAGATTGTGCGTCCCTAAAGATCAGAGACAAAAACTTCTAGAGGAGACGCATGAACAAGCATACGAAGGTGCCCATCAGGGACCTGAGAAGCTATGGCAGAAACTCAGTGATAGATTCTACTGGAAACACATGAAAGCGGACATACTCACCTTCGTTCAATCCTGCGACGTTTTCCAGAAGATCAAGCCCTCCAACTTCAATCGCTACGGCTACCTGATCCCAAACCCCATACCATCACGCCTGTATCAATCTATAGCAATGGACTTCATTGTGAATTTGCCCTGGTCAGAAGGTTATAACGCCATACACGTAACAGTGGATAGACTTACGAAACACAGCATTTTTTCACCGACAACTACGGGTCTCAATGCAGAAGACTTCGCCGCGTTGTTTGTCCATAAAGTAGCATGCCGATTCGGGCTCCCTGAGAGTATTATCTGCGACCGGGACCCTCGCTGGACATCAGACTTTTGGAAGGGAGTTGCAAAGTTTCTGCATACCAAGATGTCCCTGTCTTCATCCCATCACCCGCAGCACGACGGTCAAACTGAGATAGTAAACCGCTTCCTAGAAGTGATGATCAGAGCATTTTGTGCAGGACATAAGGAAGCTTGGGCGATATGGCTTCCTCTACTGGAGTGGGCGTACAACGCAAGCGTTCACACCTCTACAGGCGCTACGCCAAATTTTCTAATGTTCGGATTCGAACCCAGGACACCGGTTGACTTTCTGTTACCCAAGAATACCAAAGGAAAAGAAATTACGAGAACGGGCTCAGAGAAATGGTTGACCCACTTACAAATGCACAGAGAGAGCGCCCGCAGAGCCATAGCTCATGCTCAACATCACCAAGCATGGGAACACAACAAGCATCGTAAACCCGTCCCAAATATAGAGGAAGGCGACAAAGTTCTAGTCAACCCACATTCATTAGAATGGGCAGAATCGAAAGGGGAGGGCTCCAAACTCACCACTCGTTGGATCGGTCCATTCGAAGTCATCCAGAAAGTGAATCCCAATGTCTTCCGCCTGCGTATGGGTGACAACTATCCTGGTTCGCCGGTCATTAACATCCAACATTTAAAGAAGTACATTTCAGATCCATCTCACCCAGAACGAACAATTCTACCAGATTCCTTCGTGCGCAAACCGGAGTCAAAGGAATACGAAGTGGAGAAAATCATAGGCCATAAGAGAGTGGGTAAGAAAGCGATGTTACGCTACTTGATTCGGTGGGCGGGATACGGGCCGCAGTTTGATACCTGGGGCACTGCCACCGATCTGAAGAACGCCGCCGAGTTCCTGCGGGAATATTGCGCAGCCCACAATCTCTAAAGACGCCTCGATCTCCCAAATTATGCAAACCTCTTCAGCCTCTTTTCTCTTTAATGATATTCAAAACAAATGTACGAATTTTCTTTAATTTCTAACCGAGCAGTAAAGTGTTCGTCCCTAGGGTAGCGTTCGGGTTTATCGTCCGAATGCCTCATTGCACCAAAGGATCACAGAAACCGCGTGCACTCCCCCTTCTATTGTCTTTCCCTCCTACCACCACCTCCTTCATCGCATTCGTTGGAACGGTCCACGATTGCCATCAGGAGGGAAGCTGAAACTTGCAGAGGACAGTCCTGCAGGTGCCAACTTCATGGATTCTGTGATTCATTATCTCGATCCCAACGCAGTAGCAAGCGTACGCTTTGATCCTGATGCGATATGGGTAGGCCTCAATTCTGATACTGCCCTGATACCCGACTCCGCGATTATCTTCAAGGACCTACCCAATCCAGGATGGAGTGTCGAAGATTTCTCAGACGAGGGCAGGATCCTGCCTATGGATAGTGCCAGGGATCCGGACTGGTACAGACAGGAACAGCAGTGGGCGCCGTGGACTCCGACTTCCTTTTTGCTCAACGAGAAGCCATGGTATGATGAATTAGGGACTGCAGTACCAGTCAAGGAGAGAACCGACGGTTGGTGCATGGCAAAACAACAAAGGGACATTTGTGTGGTCGACCTCATACGAGCCCAAGAATGCGTCCGTGGCATCGCGGAGTTCGACGATCGTCTATCATGCCGAGCCAAAGTCCCCAAATTTTTCCCCACCAGCCGCCTCGCAAAGGTCCATGCATCACGGAAGCTCGCTCAAATCGATGCAGCTCGGGCCAAACGTTCGGTCTTGGAAGCAATCACATTCCTTCTGTGGTGGTCATCAGTAATGATCGATTGGGAATCCAGAGTCCACGACGCAATCACAGAGAACGGTAACGCCTTCATTTCCACCGTAAAAAGCAAACGTGGAGTCCTATGCGACCTGGAAAGAGATTGGCCCAGGATCAACGTCCCCCTGTATATTCAAAACAAGATCCCCTTCTTCTATATCTGGAATTTCGAAGCTCGAGTCGACGCGCGGTTCAGCCGTCTCAATCCCGCCCTCAACCTAACATATTGGGCGACACGTCAAGGGAAACCACTCACGCTATCGGCAGACATCAAAGAAGAGGACCTTTCCAAGATTGCACGGCAAGCCATCACCCTCGACAACTTCTTCCAGGATGTCTTCGCTTACTACAATCCCATCAACCCCATCATCCACCCAACATTCTCAACCTTCATCATCGATTTCGAAGGCTGGAGGCGCTGCCCTATCAATCACACTACAGAACCGGTCGAACATCTAGTTAAACTCTACTACTATGGAGTATTCAAGGAGGACGACGACGAGCGCTACCACACCATCGTCTTCTGGCATTGGAGGAAGCGTAAGCCAGCTAACGAATACCTCAGATGCCAGTACAAGATGGGCCTGCCAGGGGAGGAACACGCCACGACAATCAGAGAGCTATACAAGTTCGAGTACGCTCCAACAGGCGACACTCTATTTCACCTCGAGACGGGTCTAATCGTCGGCAAGCCCACGCTAGATAGCAAATCGGCACCATTGTTACAACGAATCGGTGACGACACCATTCTCGCAACAGAACCAGAGAGAATGGACGAGTCGGTGGACTCCACGGATGACGACTACGACACCATCAAGTTCGAAACGGTACCAGACGCCCTCTTTCACCCTCGTGCAATCAATAGCCCAGCTGCATGGATCAGGCACAACAACGAGAAGTTAGCCAAAGCCCATCGAAACGCGGAGAACAATCACACCTCTGGAGGACTGCTGCTTCAGTCACATTCGCCCATTAGCTTGATGGATCCTTACTTCACAGCTCACGAACGGCCGGATATCATGTTCAGGCGGATGTTGAGGGACGATGCGGCTAAAATAACGTATACCGAGAGTACATGGTCCGCCCCTGGCTTCGCTTGGAACGCCGAATTCCTGGACACAGCTTGTTTATTCATCACCGACGTCGAAAGCGAGGCGCGTCTCAGATACTGGGCAAATTGTTGGGATACCATCACGAACGTTCGACGCCTCCTGACAATTGCGATAGAGCATGGCATCAAGTTTCACTTAGCCTTGTCCCCTCACCACATCCGTCAATTTCGTCCCAGGGTCATCGACAGCCTCGACCGCAGCTCGGCAGCCTCCCTATATGGTACAAGCTTTCAAGAACAGAGCCTTGCCGCTTCCGACAACATGGTGACTTTCTGCACAGCTTACCTCACTAGGATGAACGACCTCCTGCGACGCCCACACGCACGAGCATTTATTGCAGAAGGGGGCCAATATAGCTGGATCGCTCGATGTTGGACTGGCACCCGTTTGGTGGAAGAATTCATGTCTGGGCCATCAATCCAGGTCACTGTGCACAACCGTGGATTCTACGACTCGGCTTCAGAGAACGCATCCTACCTTACTCACGACAGCGTTTCCGATCAAGAGAAGGACGCCCTTCTGGGCTACTGCCCCGGCGTTCACGGATGCGCCGGACGTTGGTTGTTCCCACCTGCTGACATTTCACTAGTAGCTGCATTCTACATCGATGCATTTATGGCAGCTGCCGTGGCAAAACTTGATCAGCTACTGTGAATGAATGAAATGCATTTTCATTCAATACGGCACCTGTTTCATTCAAGATAAATCATTCTGTTTCATTCATTCCTGGCGACGATTTCATTCATTCCTGGCAATGATTTCATTCATTTCATTTCATTCATTCACGGCACCTGTTTCATTCAAGATAATTCATTCTGTTTCATTTATTCCTGGCGACGATTTCATTCATTTTCATTCATTTCATTTCATTCATTCACGGCAACGATTTCATTCATTCACGGCAACTACTTCATTTTTTATTTCATTCCACCACGGCAACTGTTTCACTCATTGCTTTACAGTGGTTGTGCTCACTGTTGGTGACGACGTCGGGCACTGTTTTCAGGGTCCAGGGCGCATTTCCAAATAAGGAAATATGCGCTTTTTCCAAATGAAAAATAGCAATAAAATAGGGGAAAAATCAGAAAAGAATGGGGGATGGTGCTCACTGTTAGTGATGACATCAGGGTCTGTTTTCAGGGTCCAGGGCGCATTGCCAAATATGGTAGAATAGCTGGAAAATAGCCAAAAAATCAGAAAAAAATGGGGGATGGTGCTCACTGTTGGTGATGACATTGGGGTTGTTTTCAGGGTCCAGAACACATTTCCAAATATGGTAATATATCCAAAAATAGCCATAAAATAGCAGAAAAATTGGAAAAACATATGAATGGTGTACAAAACATCAGGCACTGCCTTCAGGGTCCATCCCAAAAGGGAAATATGACCTGGTTTGACTAAAAGTGAAGAAAAGCAAGATGAGAATGATTTTACCTATCAGGGTCCATGTAATGGGATGTTGGGATGATGGTCACATGACCAATTACCAAAAATGGTCAAAAACGAAAGTTGTAGCCCTACACTGTAGCTTCCTGAATCTGTTTGAATTATGTTCTGAAGTGCTCCCAGTGGAGATATGAGGTTAAGGAATTTCAAAAGCGTCGTGTTTTTTTTTTCTACAAAAGTTTGTAGTGTGTGCTTTTTCATTAGGAAAGTTTGTAGTATCCGCTTTTTGTCATTACAAAAATTTGTAGTGTGTGCTATTTCATTAGAAAAGTTTGTATTGTCTGCTATTTGAGACTACAAAAGTTTGTAGTGTGCACTTTTTATTAGAAAAGTTTGTAGTGTCCGCTTTTTGAGACTACAAAAGTTTGTAGTGTCCGCTTTTTCATTAGAAAAGTTGTCTGCTTTTTCATTTAAAAAAGTATGTAGTTGACATGGAGTTTATGGTGTCCTTGGACCTATCTATGTTGGGGGATGAGGTTGAAGGATTGCCATCGTATTGCCAGTGCTGCAGCATTAGTTTTTGACATCATGCACAAGTTGTCTTGCACATCAGGAAAGGCCATTCTAAGCCTTTCATATTGATACCTGCTGTCCTATCTGAAAAGATAATTGTAAGCTCATGTGGGGATATGCTGAAGGATTGACATGACTTTACATATTGCTATTGCCACATCAGCAGTTTCTCACATCATGCCCAAGTTGGCTTTCAGCTAGAGGAGGCTATTCATGTTGATATCTACTCAATACATGGTCAACTTACAACATGACCTGACTTGAAGACACCTCCAAGGATGGATCAGCCCATCATCAAAAGCCAAATTGGTCATGATGTCAAAAACTGGTGATGTTATGTCAATCCTTCAGTGATACCCCCACATGAGTGTATCAAAGTTGACTATGTTTCAGACAGGCCAGTAGCTATTAATGTGAAAGCAGACAGGATGAAAGGTAATTTGGTCATAATGTCAAAAAACTGGAGATGTCATGTCAATTTTCAGCCATATCCCCACATGAACTGATAATTATGTTTTATGATAGGACAGTAGGTATCAATATGAAAGGCTTAGAATGGCCTTTCCTGATGTGCAAGACAACTTGTGCATGATGTCAAAAACTAATGCTGCAGCACTGGCAATACGATGGCAATCCTTCAACCTCATCCCCCAACATAGATAGGTCCAAGGACACCATAAACTCCATGTCAACTACATACTTTTTTAAATGAAAAAGCAGACAACTTTTCTAATGAAAAAGCGGACACTACAAACTTTTGTAGTCTCAAAAAGCGGACACTACAAACTTTTCTAATAAAAAGTGCACACTACAAACTTTTGTAGTCTCAAATAGCAGACAATACAAACTTTTCTAATGAAATAGCACACACTACAAATTTTTGTAATGACAAAAAGCGGATACTACAAACTTTCCTAATGAAAAAGCACACACTACAAACTTTTGTAGTCTCAAAAAGCAGATACTACAAACTTTTCTAATGAAAAAGCGCACACTACAAACTTTTGTAATGACAAAAAGTGGACACTACAAACTTTGTAGTCTAAGTCCAAGCTTTTGTAGTCTGGGTCTGACTTTTATAGTCTATCAGTAAACTTGGTAGTCTATAAACTTTTGTAGTCTTTTGTATGTATCAGTAAACTTTGTAGTCTAAGTTTGACTTTTGTAGTCTTTTATAGTGTATCAGTAAACTATGTAGTCTAAGTCCGACTTTTTTGTAGTCTATCAGTAAACTTGGTAGTCTATATCTGTAGGGCATGCACCTTCCTTTTTTGGTCATTTTTCCCACAATACAATAATTGTAGCCCTTTCTTTTAGCTTTCTAAATATACTGAAATCATGTTATTTGGTTTTGTTTTCATGGAGAAAAACACAAAAAACAAAAAAAAACGCGACGCTTTTGAAATTCCTTAACCTCATATCTCCACAATGGGAGCACTTCAGAACATAATTCAAACAGATTCAGGAAGCTACAGTGTAGGGCTACAACTTTCGTTTTTGACCATTTTTGGTAATTGGTCATGTGACCATCATCCCAACATCCCATTGCATGGACCCTGATAGGTAAAATCATTCTCATCTTGCTTTTCTTCACTTTTAGTCAAACCAGGACATATTTCCCTTTTGGGATGGACCCTGAAGGCAGTGCCTGATGTTTTGTACACCATTCATATGTTTTTCCAAATTTTCTGCTATTTTATGGCTATTTTTGGATATATTACCATATTTGGAAATGTGTTCTGGACCCTGAAAACAACCCCAATGTCATCACCAACAGTGAGCACCACCCTGCCATTTTTTTCCTGATTTTTTGGCTATTTTTGGATACATTACCATATTTGGCAATGCACCCTGGACCCTGAAAACAACCCCAATGTCATCACCAACAGTGAGCACCATCCCCCATTTTTTTCTGATTTTTTGGCTATTTTCCAGCTATTCTACCATATTTGGCAATGCACCCTGGACCCTGAAAACAGACCCTGATGTCATCACTAACAGTGAGCACCATCCCCCATTCTTTTCTGATTTTTCCCCTATTTTATTGCTATTTTTCATTTGGAAAAAGCGCATATTTCCTTATTTGGAAATGCGCCCTGGACCCTGAAAACAGTGCCCGACGTTGTCACCAACAGTGAGCACAACCACTGTAAAGCAATGAGTGAAACAGTTGCCGTGGTGGAATGAAATAAAAAATGAAGTAGTTGCCGTGAATGAATGAAATCGTTGTCATGAATGAATGAAATGAAATGAATGAAAATGAATGAAATCGTCGCCAGGAATAAATGAAACAGAATGAATTATCTTGAATGAAACAGGTGCCGTGAATGAATGAAATGAAATGAATGAAATCATTGCCAGGAATGAATGAAATCGTCGCCAGGAATGAATGAAACAGAATGATTTATCTTGAATGAAACAGGTGCCGTGAATGAATGAAAATGCATTTCATTCATTCACGGTAGCTGATCAAGTTTTTTTATGGCAGCTGCCATAACTACATCATGTAATTGGCAGCTACCAGTCGACATTTTCGAAGACAAGTTTAGCTTGTGGACGGGAGAGTGGAATGCCGCACTCGACCACTGCTACCGATGCCTCGCCGACACGATCATTAAAGGGAGAGCAAAGTTACGCACCAGAGAGAAATGGAGAGACTGGATCAGGAGCAATGAAAGAGGGCAACGCCGACCCAATTACTTACCATCAGAAGAAGATTTCCGCAATGTCATGGAAGGCATCGCTTTAGCGGGACTTCGTCGCACTTGGCACCACATACCTTTGGCAAATATCGACATCCCAGAACAACAGGAAGATTAATCGGAATCTGGAAAGTGGGGGGCTCTGTAACAGGTCAGTACCGCTGTGAGTGCCTCACCCGCTGGACTATCCCTTTACCATTAGTACTTTCCACTCCCCGATGCATGCTATCAACTGACGATACTCTTACACTCGCCATATGTCACTTTTTACTTACTTGTACTACGTCATGTGTTTGTTACCGTTGTACTTATACCTTGTGTTGTACACGAGGAATATCATCTTTTTACACACCTACAATCTCTACTGCTTAAGTTTGTAGCCCTACCAACGGCTCTCCTTAAGCACCAGGAGAATAAGGCGTCTAGAGTTTATATCTTCGTCGATCCACGCAATCTCCGTAGGAACTGTCCTTGGAGATCGGAATACGGGAACGTCGGACCATCACGTTTCACGACTCCGAGCGTTTGATCGTTAGCAGAGTCTACACACCTTTGTCCGCTAGGGTATCCTACGGCTTTCCCACTCCTTGAGTGATCACTACATCAAACAGTGGTTCACAATGTCTGTGTCACACCACCAAAATATATTTTGCAAGTGAAAAGCAGTAAGGATATATTTTTGGTGAGTGGACCCTGAAATGTCACTGTCACACCTTAGAAATATATTTTTGCCCTGGCTTGGCCTTAGGATATATTTTTGGGAGACAGATGTGGTAAGGATATATATTTTGGGTCTGTAGGGGTGTCAGGGGTCCTAGTTTCACCAAAAAAACTTGTGATTTTTTTGCTGTCTGGGATATATATTCTGGAAGATTCTGCAATGATTTCCAGGGGTTTTGGCAGTATGTCTGGTCTGTCCTCCCAGTCTGTCCTCCCAGTATGTAGGTAGCAATAAGGGGCATCAATAGCATCTGCAACCTACCTGAGTAGTTGCTTGCATATTATCCACTTTGACACTATAGATACAGTTTGCACTATGAAATTCTTTGGCTGCCTTGAAACACCCTCTGAGTTGACAAAGTGCATTGATCTTTCTCTTCTTCTCTCTCCAATTGCACCATATCTGCATACCCACCCACATCTGTATTACCATCGAGTTGACAAAGTGCTTTGATCTTTCTCTTCTTCTCTGTTCAGTTGCACAGTTCACCAACATCTGTATTACCATCAATTTGGCAAAGTGCTTTGATCTTTCTCTTCTTCTCTCTCCAATTGCACCATATCTGCATACCCACCCACATCTGTATTACCATCAAGTTGACAAAGTGCATTGATCTTTCTCTTCGTCTCTCTCCAATTGCACCATATCTGCATACCTCACCCACATCTGTATTACCAGCAAGTTGACAAAGTGCTTTGATCTTTCTCTTCTTCTCTCTCCAGTTGCATCTTATCTGCATACCCCACCCACATCTGTATTACCATCCTTTACAGACAACAGTCTTTGTTGTTTCTCTCCTTCTCTTCCTTTCTTCCTCCCCTCCTCTTCTTCTCTCCCTGCCTTCCTCTCTCTTCTCTTGAGTTTTGATTGTAAATTTAGGGACAATGAATTCCATATACCCTGTCATAGTATGGAGTCACACATATCTTTGCACTAACTCCTGAACCAAGATCTATTTTTCAACCATATCATGAATATTTTAACTAGATGCTGAATCAAGATATATCTTTCCACTTTATCTTGAACAAGGATATATTCACAAGACATATATTTCAATTACATCCTGTCCCAGGATATATATTTCACCTATATCTTCAACCAGGATATATTTCCAACAAGATATTGAACCAGGATATATCACCAATATATATTCTCAACTATATCTTGAACAAGGATATATCTTTCAACTTTATCCTCAACAAAGATATATATGCAACAAGATATTGAACCAGAATATATTGCCAAGATATATTCTTAAGCTATATCTTGAACCAGGATATATCTTACAACTTTATCTTGAACCAGGATAATTACCAAGATACATTCTTGAGCTATATCTTGAACAGGGATATATCTTTCAAATTTATCTTGAACCAGTATATATCACCAAGATATATTTTTAAGCTATATCTTGGACAAGGATATATCTTTCCACTTTATCTTGAATCAAAATATATTATTAAACTTTATCTTGAACCAGGATAATTACCAAGATACATTCTTGAGCTATATCTTGAACAAGGATATATTTTTCAACTTTATCTTGAACAGGGATATATCTTTCAAATTTATCTTGAACCAGTATATATCACCAAGATATATTTTTAAGCTATATCTTGGACAAGGATATATCTTGCCACTTTATCTTGAACCAAAATATATTATTAAACTATATCTTGAAGGAGGATATATTACCAAGATATATTTCAAACCAGGATCTATTTCTTTCCAATATATCCTAAGTCAAGATATATCTTTGAAATATATTTTGAACCAAAATCTGTATTTGTGATGTAAGCATAATCAAAAGATATCCTAAGTCAAGATATATCTTCAAAATCTGTATTTGTGATGTAAGCGTAATCAAAAGGGAGTGATTAAGTGGGTTGATAGAAAATCAAGCAAGTGCCTTGATCGAAACTGAGTGAAGGATATTAATATGTAAGTAAAAGAGTGAAGTCGAAACTGAGTGAAGAATATTAATGTGTAAGTAAAGAGTGGAAGGATAGCCATGGGTAAAGACAGTGAAGGAACAGCCAACAAAAGACATGTGGATTACTGCAATCCCCAAAGTTAGATGAAGTAAAGCATAGCATAAAGGACTTACAAAGGACTATAGGAAAGGGATGCAGTCTAAACGAACAAGTCAGATTGGTGAAACAGACAATGAAAAGAACTTACAAAAAGGGTGGAGCAAGGTGTGTAGGTGGACAAAGGCAAAAGGAGGGGACACAGCCTAAAACCATCAAGTCAGATTGATGAAAGAACATCATAAAGGACTTATGCAATGATGTATGGGCAAAGGCAAAATCGGGAACACAGCTACAAATGAACAAGTCAGATGTGTGAATGGACATAAGTAAGGACTTAGGAAATACCAAATGAGCGGCACAACAACCAAGTTAGATGGAAGAAAAATAAGTCCAAAAGGACTAACATGAAAGTGATGACCTAGTTAGCAACCGAACCTTGAGAGTTCTTCCCTGGCCCAGCACGTTTGCCTGAAACATGAGCATGTCCAGAAGTACTAGCAAAAGGCTGAGATACTGATCGAGATGATGAGGCAACGTGAGCTGAAGAACTAGCAAAGGGTTGAGAGACTGAATGAGATGATGAAGCTGGTGTTTTCTGGTTCTTGAGTGGGTCAAAGAAGGAGATTGGATGTTCAGCTCATCGAAGTTTGGTATAGAACATATTATCGGGAAGGGAGGTGAAGGAGACATGACGTTGGCGTTTAGCGGGAGGTTCCACTTCTGGTTGTTTCGGCAGAGGGCGGTACTCTCTTGTGGACTTGTGCTTGAGTTCTTCTTCAGGTGAGGCCATGGCAGTGTCATGTGATCGCTTCTTTGTGGACAACGCTGGAGACAAAGAGAAAGAATTGACAGGGGAAGATGTATCACCTTTCCGATCGCGCTTCTTCGTCAGGCCTGAAATGGAGCAATTGGAACGGACACATTTGGTGGAGTCTTTGACGAAGACCATTGGAAGACCATCTGAGTTGATAATGACAGGGATCTCACCGAAGCAAGCTTCACTCTCTGGGATTAGTCTTTGCTCTGAAAAAACAACTCAGACAAATGTAAGTCAACATAATGTTATCTAACTTACCGTCAGACCAGGGCTTCACCTCCAAGAGGTTCTTTACAATCAGAGTTGATAGGTGCTTCCATTGAGAGCTTGTGATCTTCGTAGGTGCAAATTCCGGGCAGAAGGCTATGTCGACCATAGCAGAATCCCATCCTGTGATAACAAGTTTGAATTGGTAGGCGAGATTGGGCCACATCGTCCAAGGGGCCGACTTGCATTGGTCCTTTTCAGCCAAGCACGCATCTGAATACCATATCAATAACTGTTAATCACTGAACAAAACAAAATATTACTCAAAAGATCAAGAAACAATTGCGTGAATTGTTTCTGACATTCCTTCGTGTAAGGTAGCACATCCTTATCCGAAGATGCCTCCTCCTTCAAAGCAGATGCAAGCCTGGTCGGGGCGCAAGCAGTTGAGGAGCTAGCTGTTGTCGAGGGAGCAACATTTAGTTCCTCCATCGACTGCTTAATTTGATGGTCCGCATGCATAGCGCTGTAGCAGCACAAGTAAGACAAAAACCCATAATATGAAAGGGGAACAACGCACTGGACTTTGCTAACAAAGATGTCCGTCAAGGTGCCCATTGCCCACTTCTCACGATCACAAAGTGCTTGGAGGTCCTCCGAGCTCATGAAAAACCCAGACTTCTTACGAGCCGTTGCGCTTTTGCCGCTGTATACTAAAATGCCGGCAATGTCGAAAGATTTGTCACGACATTTGATATTGGTGATCTAAAAGAGTGGTGAATGTGAGGGTAATGTGATGAAAAACCAACCAAAGCGATGTACAAGGTCACAAATTTCTTTCATATGAGAGGCGAAGTGAAGGTTCATGTCGCGGACATTGGTGCCTTCTTTGTGGACTTGATTCTTGATGAAGCTAACGGCGTCCTGGATGCGTTCGTCTTTCTCTTCTTTCGTTGTTGCTCCTTCCATAAGCTTCTTGTACTCCTCATTCGTGGCCTTGTTCCAGAGCTGGAGGCCTTCTACAATCATATTATATGAGGAAGTGGGTTCCAGAGGGTAAAACGAAGACTAACTGTGATCCCCCTCCTCTGGTTTCGTCCTGCTAGCATAAGTTTTGAACATGTTGTACTGGTTTGGAGCCCTCTTCTCCTTGCACCAAAGACCCGCTTTCTCCATGGCAAATTCCGAAGAACGGCCATAGAGATGGCCCAACCTATGTGCGACTTGCCAGAGGATCTGGCCGAACATCAGATACAATGCCATTTCCAGGAGTGAAGGCTTTGTCGAAGAAACCTCTTCAAGGTCTGGGAGCAGGGCGTCGGGCATCAATGTGAGTCCATAGCTGCTCAACACGGATGCGGCGTCCAACTGGGAGGGTGTGTACGACGCCGTTAAGTCCTTCCAGTGGGTGGATGACCTCTGTACTTTCCCTTCTGTTTTCATTGTCGATAACAAAAGGCAAGCGGCTTTAGATTGTGCTTCTACCTGCTCGTCACGCTCCCAGTCGCGTTCTTCTTCCTCCTCGGTGTCTGTAACCAAAGGTTTCTTGCCTTTGGAACGCCGTTCTTCCCCCTCACACGCTTCTTCCTCCTCACACTCCAAGTCTGGATCTTCTTCGGCATCTTCCTTGTCAATCTTTGTGTCATCCTCTTTGGTGTCCGTAACTGATTGTCCCCTCGATTTACGCCAGTCCCTCGTCTTCTCTTTCTTGCAGGTTCCCTCTTCATAATCGGACCCACTGAGGTCACTCTCGATCCGGGGATCTGGGGCATCCCAGTCCTCTAATTCTTGAACTTTCCCCTGCTTCCCTTCTTTCTTATTTGGGACTGGTGGGCAGCACTTTTATCATAAAAACAAGGTAACTGCCTATGGCTCCCTGTGTATCCATCCACACTCTTTATGATAGGGAATCATTCCTGTTACCATGTCTTTTCATTATCATAAAGCCTGCGCTTTTTTCATTAAATGGAGGCAAGGCCTTATTACCAATTTCATATCTTTACAAAGGCATATCATTGTGATTTTCATTACTTATCTGGCCAGTATCATTGGAAATTTCATTAATTATCTGGTGAGTATCATTGCAATTTTCAATGGTTACTTTGGCAATATCATTGGAAATTTCATTAGCTACTTGGGCGACATCATTGCGATTTTCATTAGTTACTTGGGCAATATCATTTGGAAATTTCATTAGCTACTTGGGTAACATCATTGTGATTTTCATTAGTTACTTGGGCAATATCATTGGAAATTTCATTAGCTACTTGGGTGACATCATTGTGATTTTCATTAGTTACTTGGGCAATATCATTGGAAATTTCATTAGCTACTTGGGCGACATCATTGCGATTTTCATTAGTTACTTGGGCAATATCATTGGCAATTTCATTAGTGAGCTTGGGGTGTTGCTCACTGTTGGTGACGACATTGGGGGTGGTTTTCAGGGTCCAGGGCGCATTTCCAAATATGGTAATACAGCTGAAAATAGCCAGAAAATATCCAAAAAATCAGAAAAAAATGGGGGATGGTGCTCATTGTTGATGATCATATTGGGTAATGTTGTCAGGGTCCAGGGTCCAGTTCCAAATATGGTAATATATCCAAAAATAGCCCGAAAATGGCGGAAAAATTGAAAATATATATAAATGGTGTACATAACATCAGGCACTGCCTTCAGGGTCCATCCCAAAAGGGAAATATCACCTGGTTTTACCAAAAAGCAAAGAAAACCAAGAGGAGAATGATTTTACCTATCAGGGTCCATGTAATGGGATGTTGGGATGATGGTCACATGACCAATTACCAAAAATGGTCAAAAACGAAAGTTGTAGCCCTACACTGTAGCTTCCCGAATCTGTTTGAATTATATTCTGAAGTGCTCCCGTTGTGGAGATATGAGGTAAAGGACTTTCAAAAGTGTCACGTTTTTTTTTGTTTTTTATATTTTTCTCCATGAAAACAAAACCAAATAACATGATTTCAGTATATTTAGAAAGCTAAAAGAAAGGAGGGCTTCGACAGTAGAAATTTTCGGTACACTTTATAATCTGAACTTAAAATCTGTACCTGAAAGTGTACCAAAAAGTGAACCAAGGAAAATTTACTACAGAGTTCACATTTTTTCGCCAAGTACAGATTATTTTCACAAGTTCAGATTATATTTCGTCTACTATTTATTCCATATTTATTCAAGTACAGATTAGAACAATTTATAAGTTCACGTGAGCCCTTCATCTGGCGGGCACGTGAGTGGCACTTGCCCCTGATTATTGTTCCATCTTGCGCCGTTGCTCTTAAGCTCTAGATTTATCCACCCACACTGCTTTGTCTGCATTCACCCTGCTCTTGGGTTCAAACACTGCTGCTTTTCTAACAAATGGCCACACTCCCAGTTGCTGACCTCTTGAAACATCTCGAGAACTATAGGGGCCTCCTTGAATGCTGTACCTGGCTTGATCTGGACCGCTTCATTTGCTTCACCTCAAACATCCGGCAAGAGATCAGATTACATACTCCACCTGGATCTCATAATCCCCCACATCGGCTCCCAGTGTATATACACGACTTTTTGACCCACATGCTACAGCTCAGTGATGCCGTCGTTATGCAACTCTGGGCAGGGCTCAAGAACTATGTCTGGTCACTTGACAACCATGCTTCTTCGCACCTTACAGATGAGGAAAGGGATCACATGGGCATTGTGGGAGAAAGAGCATTGCGTGCTGAGGAAAAGTTAGGTGAGTGACTCTATTTCCTTGCAGCTTATTATCAGTATAAATAATTGGATGTTGATAAAGCGTCAAACATGCTCTACCCCCCATGCTCATGTTGTCTTTTTTGTCACCATGGACTCAAATATAGCACCCTCTCGCGTGTCAAGATTGTCATTTACCAATCAATGCATGGTCTCAATGCAAGGCATGGGTATTCAACCTCCCTTGCTTGCTCTGGTTAGTTGATTTTGAACTGACTACCTGTCGTGTTGTCATTAATGTGACTCCTCAGATTGCAAAATTCGCTACTACCACAATTATTATGCTGTGGATGGCACACGTCAGTTTTACGGCACACCTATTCCTCAGCATATTCAAATTGAGGACCATGCTTACATCAAGGCAGACTTGTGCGAGCTATTCAGTGATTTTATGCTTTTTGCCTGGGTCTCTGCTCAGAACTGCAGCAATATCCTGAATGCAGCAATTAAGTGAAAGCATCGGGATGAACAATTTAAGACCCTCTTCATCAGTTCCGAACAGGTCTCCCGTGCATTTTATCTCAATGCTTTGCTCCAGGACTCTGCAGAGCATGGTGAAGCACTTGTACTACCTGATATTGGTGACAACGATGATCGACTCAAACTTGCAATGGAAGTACGGAATAAAAGGATCATTAGTCAAGGCCAGTTAGAGCAAATGCATGCTTGCTCAAAATGTGAGAGGTTCCTACCTGGGAATGGATATAACAGCTTGCATGCATTTAATTTCATTTCTCACCAGTCTATCAAAAACTCAATTTTCCTATTCTAGGTTCATTTCGTGCTGTTGTTACAGATGGAATTATGATTGGAAGACCATGTTGCAAGGTTCACAATTGTACATGACCTCTTCCCAACAATCGAGCACATTTCTGTCTCGAACACGCATCATTAAAGAAGATCTGCGTCGTTATTGGTTGTGATACAAAGGCTGCGCCAGGCTCCCAGACATGTGAAGATGCCTCCCATCGTGAACTTGAGAATGCGCGAAATGATGTCGGTAGGGCATTCTTCCAATTACGCCACCTGATTCAACGTCACAACATGCCACATCTTTTGGACTCAATGACCACTCCACATTCTTGGGACTTCGATGACAATGCTGATGATGGCACTCGTAAATCGGACTCCGGAAATCAACAACCAAAGGCACGTTTTTCTCGCCGCAGGACACACAATGAGCAACTGGTCGTAGCTTGTTGTGGTGTCATTACTGCCCGAGGAACTATGTATGGCGCTGAAGCAATATCGGGAGTCAAGGTCAGTAGTCATTTGAATTTTTGTGCTTTCGAATCATTTATCGGAATTTTGTTCAGGACTTCTTAAAATCAGTTTACCCCTGCCGTGAAGATCTTCCAGATGTCATATTTTATGACAACAATTGTCACCTCCAATCTCATCTGGCTGCTCAAAAGGATTCGTTCTTTGGCCAGGTTATCCTCCCAGTTGATGTATTCCACTTCAAGTCAAAACATAAAGTCACCGACGAGTTTTGCCAAAAGCATTGCAACCCCGCGAGATGGCCAGAGCTTGTGGACAAAGAAGTGGACAGTGATGGAAAAGAGAATGCCAAATGGATCTTCAATTCCTCTGCTGCTGAACAGGTGAATGTATGGCTTGGTGGTTACATCGCAATCGTGCGCGATATGTTGGCCCACCGCTTTGACTTTTTCCTTGATGAGATGATTAAGAGGAGAAATGCTGAAGTTGTCGAAAAATTGTATCTTACTGGCCATTCTCCATACCATGTACCATACCATACATAGTTCAAGTGAATTACTTACAACGTATGTACTCAAGAGTTGGTGCTGGGGAGTCGTCACATTCGTCACAGGGAAACGTCACTGCCTCCATCCTTCTTTCCTTGCTTCCAGCTTGCTAGCAATGGAGCAACTGCATACCGCGAGGGGCATCTCTCAGCAGATCAATTTCTGCACTACCCAACAGGCACTTTAGTTAGGCTGAGCCCCTCTGGGAGTGTGGGGTTGATCTGTTTCCTGGCAACATCTTTGGTTGAAGCAGGCTGTTTCGCAGCGCATTTCCCCTGAAGTAAGTCTTGACCGCCCTTGCAGAAAAAGAACTGACAGGTGACTCCCTTGTAGATTTCATTTCCTCTATCGCATCGCCTTAAGCCGTGTTCAGCGACTCAGCCCTGCCAGTGAGGGCATCGCACACGCATCCACACGCATCCAGATGCTGACCAGGGGTACATGGTAGCGTGCCGCGTCAGTTGCTGTGGTTTAGCCCAGCGACTACGAGGGCGTTGTCCATCTCTTCATGGTCGTCACCCCATCTTCACATTCATAGTGTTCCTGTCGTAGGGGACGATTGAGATTGGCTTCATCGTTCCTAGTGATGTGCAGGCCCGGCTTGGCCCGAAAGCCACGGCTATGGCCCGGCTTTCAGCGGCTCAGGCTTGACTATATTCAAGCATGAGCTTTTTGCAAGGCTTCAGGCTGGCTCAGGCCCGGCCCAGGCTCAGGTGCTAAAGTCGAAAAATACGCACAAACAATCAATTAGTCGAAAACTTATCGCAAGTTCTTTGGAGTTTATGGTATGTCTCCTCTATCACTTTCTTCGAAGCTCCTGACCATGCACCGTACAGTTCACCTCGCACGTCATACCTCCCTTAACTTAACTTATAGGTTTCAGCATCTGGATATGGGGTGTCACGGGAATATGACGAAGTGGGCAAAGGCACAAGTGAGGGAGTTGCTTGGAGTTGGTGCATTTTTCTTTCATTTTGGAAATAGGGAGTTAATGGATTCGTGTGCTCAGATATCGCAGCAGTGTCGGAGGATCAAGCGTGTTGACGTTGGGAGCCAATGCATGGTTTGTGGTTTGGAGCTTGTTTTGCTGCACTCGGTTGTTACACCAGGCCTCGTGTTTTCCCCTGAAAAACTTGTGCAACCATTTGACATCGTCTCAATGCAATTTTGCATGCACCACACTTTTGAGACTGTCCAAAGGCACGTTGTATGCTTGACAGGAATGTCATTGGTATACAGAATTCGGTTTGAAAATCAGGACTCGAAACCGATGTTTGGCCGCAACTACTGGTTTTTATTGCAAGATGCAGCTGAGAATGTACCAGAGTATGTGCGCGATGA